AGATTCACAAGGAGCATGGGCCAGCCGGCCTTTGCAGCCCTTAGTTTTAAGATTCAAGTCAAGACACCAGATTTAATCTGTAATGGAGCAGCTGTGGGTTAGCCCCTTGCATCCCTGCTACCCAAAGTTCTGAAGCTGAAAGCAAATGATCCCATCTAACCATAGCCTTCACATGTCCCATGGGTGTGAGTTGTGGCTGTGAAGGACAGGGGATGTTCTCAGCATCTCTTCTGTATGAATTGGAACCACCTGATGGAACCAATTGACCTCAATGTGATGCTTTTCTTTGGGATCCCAGTGCAGAGACAATTTCTTCTGTCACCCCAAGGACACTTCTTCCTAGGATGGAAGGGGGATAGCTGTGAAACAGGGCTTCTCAGGCTGCCCTCCTTTCTCTCCTATAATCAGGAAAATAAGAGGTTAAGAAACAGAGTTGAGGAAGGTCTATCCTGTGCTGGATTTCCAGATCCTATTGGTCTCTGGGACTTTATCCACTCTTCCACCTGCATGTAAAACTATTTCAGTTCCTGGAAAGAGCAACCATGAGTTGGATATTAAGAAAAAACTCTTCTCAGAAAAAGTGGTGATGCATTGGCACAAGCTGCCCAGGGAGGTGGTGAAGTCATTGCCCCTGGAGGTGTTCAGGAACCATGGAGATGTGGCACTGTGGGACATGTGGGCATGGTGGGGATGGGTTGACTTCTGGACTAGATGATCTTAGAAGTCTTTTCCAGTCTTAATGATTTTATGATTCTATGATTCTAAGAACTTTCCTCTGAACTTTAAAACATTTCTAGAGTTCGAAGGAGCCAGGTTGAGCAATAAACGCAGGTTACAAATTGCTTATCCCTATCTGTGCCAAATGACCAGCGGCTCAAGGAAACTTGTGTGCAAGCCACCAGGTCAGGCTGGCTGGGCTGGCCCAAAGACACCACCTTTGTCAAACAGAGGGAAATCTCCTTTTTTAAACAACCAACTGCTTTGCAAGGAAGTGTTTGAATCTCAGGGATCTTTGGATATATATGGAGAAGAGTTTTGTAATCTGAGCAGTACCCCAAACTTACAAACTGTCCCCATGGCTCATCTGGACAGACACACAAGCTTGCTTTGTCCCTGCTAAACCAGGAGGGTTGGGCGGTGTAATGGGGAGGCACGCTAGCTGGTGGGACACAAGCCAGGCAGTCTAGCTGCAGCCAAAATGCCTTGGCCAGGTGTCAGCTGAGCTCCATGCCAAAGCTAATAAGCCTGCCAGGAGCCAGGGCTTCCTTGCTTGGATGAAAAAAAAAAAAAAGTTAGCCTAATGGTGCTTGGCTGGCTCCGGAGCTCTGCTGGAAACTGCATAGCTCTGTTCTGCCATATGAAACTGCTGCTTCAGATAGGGCAACCTGCTTCTCTTCAGCAGCAAAAAAAATTGAGATCCGTGACGACGAAATGTGGGACATGACTTGAAACAAGGGTTCTTCTCTCCTGTGACCTAAGGTGGGAAAACAAGGATATTTCCATCTCCTTTCCATCAGACTGCTGGAGCTGTTGTCACATTGTTGATATCCCCTTTGTCACTCTGGGATGGAATCCCTGCTGCTTGTAGTGCTTCTGCTCTGCTTTGTGATGCTGGCTCTGATTTTAACTTCAGGAGGGAGCTGATGCAATTCAGACAGCATTGCCCTACTGCTGTTGCCCATGGGCTGTTCTCTGTGCAAAGAAGACTTAGCCAAGCTTTTCTGGAACTGCTGAAATCCAGAAAACAACATTTGCAGAATGACCACAGAAAAACTCTTCCCCTTTACCCTAAAATGAGACCTCAAACCATTGTGAACTTGATAGTGCCTTTTCCCAAGACATTTGGCATCACTGAAAGTCAACACTCCTCCGGTGGAGCAGAGACTTGCCTGCTTATGTGTGAATGTAGAAACAGATGCTAAGCAGAGGCTGACAAGGAAATTCTAACTGAGAACATTTGGGGGTTTAAGGTGTCTCACTGGTGAGTTCAAGCCCAGGTGTGAAATGGCCTCCAAAGGGAGAAGCCCAGAGGATATTTCAAAGGTTTGACACACCACCAGATTTTGTAGTCACTGAGGAGATGAGAGAAAATCTGCAGTGAGTACAGGTAAAACAAAAAAGACTGCAGGAGTGTTATTCCTCAGGAATATCTTAAAGGTTATGCAGCATGACGGACTGATTTATGCTTTTAAAATGAGATCTCAGATGTTCAATCAACTCAACGAGGTTTTATGAGTGCTACCTGACCTGCGGCGTACGAGCACTTCGTTCACTGTAAACACAAGGCTGGATGTATTAACATAAGTGCTTTACTGGGATTTCACTGACATACTCTCCCTCATATAGCAAAGAGCTTCAACATCCCATCTCTGGAGGTTCAAGACCAGGTTGGATGGGGTCCTGGGAAACCTGGCCCTATACCAGATCTGGAGGTTGGTGGCTCTGCCTGTGGCTTGATGATCTTTAGGGTCCCTTTTAACTCTAGCCATTCTGTGATTCTACAGTTCAATGCAGACAGTGACTGGGGCTTAGCTGAAATCTGCAGAGTAGCTGAGCTGTGGTAGAATCAGAAAATTGTAGAATTGCCTGCGTTGGAAGGAACCTCAAAGATCATCAATATTCTCTTTTGCCTGTCTCTCCAAAGATCATCAGCCCCAGCTATATGTAAGTATTGTTTGGTGAGTCCTACAAAAGGCTAAGGACAATCATTTATGGAAGGGGTTTTAACAACTGGATATTGTTGGATTAAGAACTGTAGAAGATCCATGCAGACACAACAGAGCTCTGTTCCAAATCTGGTTCTCTTCCTTCCCATCATCTGTCTCAGGTGGTGGAAAAAAAGGGTGTTGAGATAGATAGATTTCTATGAATTCATACTCCAGGCACCTGGAGGTGCCCAGTAGAGCATCTAGCAAAGAGGTAAAGAGGATAGCTAATGCAAACTGACAAACCAAATCAGCAACTTCTGAAGCAGCACAGGAAACTTGTGATGTCATGTGGCCAAAGCCATGCAGGATGGCCAGCATGAAAGAGGGTTTCCAACATGGTTTTTGGGGGAGTGACCCACAACCCGTGTCTCTTCCTTGGTCCTATGTGAGCTGAGATCCTGCAGTCTGCTGTTGTATGCCTCTGCCAATCCCTTAGGTATCTCTGGACAGTTCCTTTATCTTCAGTCCCCTCTGAAATCAAGCGAAAGCTTGATCCCATGGAAATACATCTTCACACACTGCCACCAACCTCACTGCTGGTACCGTGCCCTCTACTCTATCGTGCCGAGCTCTCATCAAAAGGGGCTCTGGGAGGAAGAAGCTGTCTGTTTCCTTTAGCTTACAATAAAGTGAAGCAGTTCAAAGAGAAGGAAAATGAGGTTAACGATCTCTTTGAAATGTAGGTTCAAATTCCCAGCACGGCACAAGTCAATTACCAGCAAGCACCGTGACACACATCCACTGCTAACGAGGAATCAGAGGGGGGTATTGGTGAGACCCAGGCAGTGCTTAAAAAACATTGCCATGGTGGTGGGAAAGTTACTAGGGAGGAACTTGCTTGGTTTTCCAGGCTGAGTCCTCTCTATGGGTTACACAACTACTGTCCAATGTCTTGCAGAGGGGATGGAGCCTGTTCCCCTGCCTAAAGTCACTGCAGCTGGCAGGGATTTTGAAGGACAGCACTTTCATTAAACCTTTTTTATTTTACTGCTGTTAAAAGGAAAAAGTACTGCATGGTGGGAATGGGGCAGGAGGGGGATGTGGATGTGTGCACACAGGCGTACAATTGCTTGGAGATAAGGACTGTGATTAAGGAAGGATGCTCCTGCTCCCTGCTTATTACAGCAAAGGATTTATCTGATGGAACAGACTCAGCCCCAGTTTTTCTCCTTTTATCCAGGATCCCACTTCCACTGTCCACTCAAAAAGGGAAGGATGGAGATGTCTGGGGGGGGATGCAGGAGGAACATAATTGCATGCCCAATGCATTGTGCATAGGGTAGAGGGTTTCACTGCCTCAGAGTTATCCCAGGATTTAGCTCCAGAAGGATGGTCCCCAGTCACAGAGCACTGTTTTCTGGCCTGGCAAAAGTGCACTGGTGCTTTCCAGCCTGACTGAGTCTGGGTGTGTGAAGCAGAAGTGCTGGAAATAAAACCTCCTGCAAAATGGAAAACATAGAGCTATTTTTATAAAGGGACAGCACCCAGCGCTGCTGAACCAGTCACACTATCAGTCAGCAAGGGACTTCTGTGGTCTGACAGCTGACAACCAGGAGAAGCAGCTCCTACAGAACAGCAATAAGGAATGAGTGATTTGGGCTATTGGGAGCTGCATCTTTTTAAATGAAGACAAGAGTGTTGACCTGTGCTGCCTCTGACCCTTGGATATAAGGGGGAATAGAGAGTGACCCTCAATACACTTCTTAACATGCTGGAAAGGAGGGTGAGACACTGATACTCCTGTGAGCAAACACCAGCTCGGCCACTGCTCCCCCTCCCTAAACGTATCCTCATTGCTCAGCCTCCGCTGAGGTTTTCCAGCTTCTAAAAATATTCAGCCTCTAATTAAAGCATCCATCTCACTTGCCAGGACAAACGCATCCGGCCACAGAGCTGAGCTGGACCCAGAGATAGCCAGAGCTTGCCTGGCTGGTTGTCCTGGTCTGGGCGCCTTGGGTGACGTCTGGTATTGGAGTTTAGTTTGTGATTCCTTGTGTATCAAGCTGGTGGCAGCTTCAGGAAGTGGGCTCCTCAGATTTTATTACACTGACATAAGGAAAAAGTTTTTTACCAGAAGGGCAGTAAAGCATTGGAACAGGCTGCCCAGAGAGGTGGTGGATGTCCTGTCCTGGGAGACATTTAAAGTCATATTGGATGGGGCTCTGAGCACCAGATGGAGCTGTGGGTGTCCCTGTTCATTGCAGGGGAGCTGGACCAAATGGCCCTTGAGGGTCCCTTTCACAGAATCACAGAATCACAGAATCACAGAATGGCCAGGGTTGGAAAGGACCCCAAGGATCATGAATCTCCAACCCCCCTGCCACACGCAGGGCCACCACCCTCCCCATTTAACTTTAACTCTCCTTTCAACTCGAATTTCAACTTTCCTCCCCTTTCAAATGATTCTATGATTTTCCAAGCCTGGAGTCACCCTGTGCCTTTTCTTCATCTGTGTTTTTATTGTCTGGGTCCTATGGTGGAGAGGGATCCATGAAGAGCATAGGGCGTCGTGCTGCAGGTGGGGCTCTCATGCCTGTTGCAACGTAGAAGAATTCAGATAGGCTATTTAAGTAATTCAAATAGCAGCAAAATGAGAGGGAGCTAAAATAGGATGGAGGAGTACACAAAGTGCAACAAAGTGCTGGTGGGGCATTCACAAGGAATTTGGAGAATCCATCTGATAGATGGATTCAGACCCATCATTTTAGGCACTGTGTCCTTGCCCTGGCAGACCATGTCAGCCAAACAGATTGCACAGCCCTGTCCCGTGGCAAGAGAGATCCCAACAGGTTGGATATTAGGAAAAACTTCTCCACAAGAGAGGTTGGATACTGGCAACAGGCTGCCCAGGGAGGTGGATTCACTGTCCCTAGAGGCATTCAAGAACTGTGGAGATGTGGCATTTATGGACTTGGCTTAGTGGGCAACAGTGGTGGTATGTGGACAGTTGGAGGAGATGATCTTTTCCAGCTTTAATGATTCTATGATTCCATGATCCAGAAGGAGATGCAGAAGGAAAACTGTGGTGGAGCCTGGTGGGCAGAGACCGTGCCATGGTGGGCACAAAAGGAGCAGGCATGGTATCATAGAATCATGGAAGATCTTGAGTGGGAAGAGACCAGCAAGGACTGTCATGTCCAGCCATCTCTATATGTTGGTCCTGGCTTTCCCTTACAGTTCTTAACAGTGCTGTGAGCCAGAACTGGCCTTTCCTGGAGATATGTCCCACATGGTTGCCAGTCCTGGAGGACAGGGTAGACAGCTTGTGGGTCTCCCCAGATCACCCCTTCTTCAAACCCAGCCTTCCAGCTCAGCTCCTCACTAGCAGACCATTCCCTAAATCCACTAAGACCTTCACACTGCCTCTAACAAAGTTTGGAGCATACCCTACAGCATTTGCCCCAGATGCTCTTGTGTCAATTCTGGACACTCAAATGTCCATAACTCCCTTCCAGTCAGCTTACCTGGACCTTGTGAAGCTTTTTAATCTTTCCACTAATGAGGAGCCCAATGAGACAAGCACAGCAGTTTGGAGACACGACACCCACAGTTCTGGTAGGGCTGAGCAGGGCAAAGGAAGAAACTACAGAGGAATGGCAACAACACATCACATTGTACTTTGGATTTAAACCATTCACCCTCCCATCACTAAGACAATAAATCCACATTTGTTCACCTCCAAATCACTTTATTATATTGTGAGTAATCACAAAGCCTTACAATGCTGCCGAGATTCTGTAAAAAACAAACTAATACAGCGATGGTATTTGCCAGCCTTTGCTAAGACTTGTTCAGCTAGCAGCTAGCGTGAGATTACACCAGGAAATATTGCAGTCTTCAACTGGATTGTCACATTGGGTTTTAAATTTACCACAGTGGTGCAAAGCCGGTGAATCTAACAGTATATGATCCCCCTAACCTTGCATCTACGTACAGACTTACAACATTAAACAATTTTTTTTTTTTTAAATTACATTTTTTTTTTTCTGCCAGCAGAAAAGAATTCTCTTAAAAAGGCAAGATCCACTAAAAACCACCTCCTTTCTCCCAAACTGTCCCCTCCTTCCACTGCTCTCTTCCGGATCTCCGTCTGCCTGCAGGCATTCCCACTGCCTTTTTAAGAAAACTACTTTGTTTCTCATGAATGTGAAGGCTGGTCAAACCTTTCAAAGGCTCAACAGAGGGGCAAAGCCCCCAACACTGATGAAAAGGGTTAAAATCCTACCTCATGGTCTGCCATCAAACCATCAAAAAGGAAATGGGTGTCAGCATGTGAGAGGGATTGAAATATCCAAAGTAAGACGTTGAATCTGGGGTGAGCCCCCTGGCAGTGGCTGGCTTTTACGGGCTCAGCAGGTTTCTACCATCGCTGGAGAGAAATGCCTTGGGCAATGTGCTTTCCATTTGTGAAGGCCTTTGGGGGTGTGAAGATGAAGCTTGAGCTCCTCCCAACACTCCCAAGGAGGGCTGCGGACTGGGTTTATGTCTCCATCATCTTTGCATGGACTCCCTCCTTTGGGGGAGGTTCAGGTTGGATATCAGGAAAAGGCTGAGAGCTTGGCTGGGGACTGCAGCAGGCTCCCCAGGGAAGTGGTCACAGCACCAAGCTTGCCATAGTTCAAGAAGTGTATGAACAACTGTCTCAGCTGTATGGTCTTATTTTTGGGTGATACTGTGTGAAGCCAGGAGTCAGACTTGATGATCCTTATGGGTCCCTTCCAACTCAGGATTTTCTGTGATTCTGTGATTCCCTCAGCCTGTTTCAGAAACTTTAAGGTTACCCTGATGCAAGGCTGGGTGTGGAGAACAAGCCATGGACAGATCTGTGCAGGATCACCATCCACAACAGACCCTCCCATCCCCAGGACAGAAAGTGGCAGATTTGGGATGGATATCTCCATTGGCAGAGCTCCTTTGAGCAGAATGAAGGCTTAATGTACAGCACTGTGTTGCCTTTGCCCCCTTTCTCCTGATCTGGAGAAGAAGTGGGATGAGGGAAGCTCCCCTTTGCTTTGCCAGCATTTCAGAGTAGAGGAAAAATGCATAAAGCTCCAAGGACAAAGCTTTTTATCAGATCTCAGTTTGTAGCCAAGAAGCCATGTGAGAGAAACAAAAGCCACAGAACTGGAATGAAAATATACCTCAAGATCCTTCCCTTGATAGGCAGACTACTCCAGGGTTGCAGGCGTCAGTGCTAATTCTGCTCCTGGCACGTTTTGGAAGTTGCCTCACATGATCCCAGCTGAGCTGCAGATGTTGAGTTCAGCTGGGAAACATCAGCATGGAGACAGCTTGCTCCGGAGTCCTCTGTGTCTTGGCTGGCTAAGGTCACTGAGATAAAAACCACTGTCAATGTTTTCTTCCAGGTTTACCCAAAAACGAAGGAGGAAATTGTTTTTTCATTTAAAGCTTGGCTATGTGGTCTTTCAGTTAATTTGCTTGATGCAAGCTGGGTGAGATGCTTCTTCTACTTTGCAATGTGTCAATGTCCCACTAATGTCAGAAAGATGGGATGTTGCCAAGGCTAGACCTAAAGTAATCTGACATACAAAGAATCAAGATGGGAAAATAGGGAGAAAAGAGTGGAACACTCTCTACTTACTCAGTGTTCATTGCACATCAATGCAAATATCATGTAAAAACCAGCACATTAGGAGCACGTTGCATTCAGGTTTGTCTGGAAATGTTTCTTCAGACTGAAAGTGCATGACAAGGAACAGGGTGCTGCTAATGAAGGCAACATCCAAAAGGCACTTCTTGGGGAATAATAATTAAAAACAGGGATGAAGAATGGGTTTGGAAGCCAACAGCTACGGAGTTGGCAGGTTTTGGGGTGCACTTTGGAGAGGTGTATCTTTGCACCTGCAGACCGGTCTGGGGCGTGGAGTTTTGCACCACAGCAGCTCTTCTGCCCCAAGACCCAACTTGGTCCTTAGTGTCCATCAGCACTCTTCTTGAGCTATGCAGCCCCAAACATACCGGGTAGAATCTGGGGCCTGCAAGTGAGGATTTGCAAGTGTATAAAACCCACAAACAATCAAGTATTGGCATATACAAATATATAAATTATTGACAGCTTTACAAAAGGCACACTGCAAGCCAGCTCAGTCCGACAGCTGTGCAAACCCCACGGCCCCCTACCCTCCCACTCCAACTTCCCCATCCCTTTCTTTCTCTTTCATCACAAAACGTAAGGCGCTGCTGCTACGGCCCCATGGCTGTCATGGCAGCTGAGGACCTCTTTTTTGGTCAGCCCAATTTGTCGGTGGTACTGTCCTTCTTTGATGGTCTTAAAACACTGAATGTTCTTCCTCAAGGTGATGCTTTTGAGGGAAGGTAAGTATTTTAGCACAGTCTTTGGCAAGGAGGACACGCCGGTCCCAGAGAGGTTGAGCTCTTGTATAGAGTTCAGGCCAAAGATAACTTCAGCAGTCAATGACCTTAGATTGGGATTGTTGGATAAATCCAGAACTTGGAGGGCTGGTAATTCCTTGAAACTGTAAGGAGATAACTCTCTAAAGTCATGGAGGCCGCTGAGGGATAAATGAATCAAACCTTTCAGCCCCTTGAAGTCTCCTTTCTCAATCTTGGCTAGTGGGTTGCCATCAAGATTTAAGTATCGAAGAGGAATGCCTTGGAGGTTTGGCACAGTTGTTAACCTGTTTCCAGAAAGATTTAAGTTCTGGATGTTGGGGACGCTCTTTTCATGGTTCCTTGTAATTTTGCTGAGCATGTTATTGGATAGATCCACATTCAAGGGTTTTCCTTGACCCTTTGAAGCAAAAACGTCTATCGCTATATCCAAAAGCTTGTTATTGCTCAAATCTATGTCGCCCAAAGGAGAACTGGAGAAGCAGTCCTCTGGAAGGACTTCCAGAGAGTTATGACTCAGATCCAAAGACTCCAGGTAGCGAAGCCTGGAGAAAGTTGTGGAGGAAATCTTGGCGATTTTATTGTAGCTCAGGTCAAGGCTCACCAGGGTGGTGTATCCGGGGCCAGTTAGCATTGATTCATTGATAGTTTCCAGTTTGTTTGAGGACAGATCCAAGTAGGAGGTATCCAGAGGGATTGGGACAGGAACAATGTGTGAGCCTATTCCACTGCAGTCCACCTTGGTCAGGCTAAAGCTGTCAAAGAGACCAAAGCTTTCCACTTCACAGTGGCAGCCAGGGAAGCAGGTTTTGGTGGTACTGAAACACGGAAGGAGAAGCAGCAAGTTGAACCAGGCTAAGAACTGCATCGTTGACCTGGAAAACAAGATGACAAAAATTAGATTTAATTGCCTTACTTGACTGAACAGTTTGAGCTACGCGTTCTTTCTATCTTTCCAAATGGATAGATTAAGCATTCTGTTAAAGTATCAACTAGCTATAAGTAAATAGCAAGGATGTCCTAAACACCATATTTCTCATGCTATAGTCCCCAGTAGGAATCTTGCAAGATGTCCAAGAGTCCAAATTCCAAGAGCAGGACTTGATGACCAGGAGCTGGACTGGATGATCCTTATGGGTCCCTTCCAACTTGGAATATTCTATGATTCTGTGAACTGCTAGAAGGCTGCCCATTGCCAGTGGACTGCATGTCTCCCTTACTTTAACTTCAAACACACATTTAGATGTGTTTCAGCAGACAGACTCATTGCTTAATGTCATCTGCCTCAAGCCAACCTCTTCTGGGTGGTGGCAGGCAGAACAGACAATGGCCATTTGGCTCCTCGCCTACAATGGGAACCAAGGACAGCTTGATCTACCCCAGAATGTGTTGTGGTGGGCCCAGACTCTCTCAAAGGCACTTAGTGGAAAGAGCTAATTTATTTCACACACAGACTCTGGAATCTTTGCTAATTAAGCATTCTCTCTGATTAACGATGCTACCAAGCGAGGAGATCTCTCCACCCCTCTGATTTTGAACCTCCATCATCTGAGACGTTTATCTCTCTCCATCATTGCAGCCAGAGGAGGAAGAGAGCTGATCTGCATCTCCCACCTCTGCTGACCCTTTTCTGATCACATTCTGGCAGCAACTCTGCACAACCACAGGCAACTGCAGCTGTAGGATTTCCAAAGCCAGCCAAAAAAGCTTTTGCTCTGCATCTCTGTGGGGGGTAAATAGGAGCATGTAAGTGATCCTGCAGGTCAGCAGAGAGGACTGTCCCCCTTTATTCCAGCTGAAGTCTTGGGTGATGGCTGCGTGTGCCTTGCAATGTGCAAAAGAAGTGCAAAGGGGAAAATGCCTGCCCAAAATATTGTCCTGATCATTGATATGACTTGTCTGGGAGTAACTCCCACATCTCCTGTGACCAGAGAGAAGGGTCTGGGACTCTGGCCAAAATACTTGCAACCAAAGCATTGCAAAAAGCCAACATGCAATTCTCCAGGGTGCATTATTCTGTAGAAACAACAGAAAACCAGTAAGATGAGCCCATCTTAAGTGTTTCTTGAGAAAAAACATGTGTGACCAGATGGGATGCAGTGGATACTTCTGCAGACACATTTCCAGATAACTCTTTCTCAATGACACTGATATCAACCCTCACTCTGGTTCTGTGCAGGCAGACCGTTGCTCCATTTTGCAATCATTCATCATTGGGAACTAAAAAACCTCAATGTTAAATGTTTCTTCTGAACCATCTGCCTTAGTGTAACCCCCTATCAGTGGTGAGAGGCTTAGTGGTATCTCTTTTTTTTTTTATCTCTTTTCTTATGATATTATTGGTCTCTTTTCTCTCAGATCCCATTAATTAGCTATTCCCACTTGATATCTCAACCTGGACAGTGCCTCCTAACTTCTTTGAAACCCCAGTTTGGTTGCTGCTGGCATCTCATTCATTGTCTCTGAGGGCACTGGATCAGACCCCAGAAGCTCCAAAGACACCAGTATGAGACTGGTGAGATGCAATCCATTACTACCAGTTAAAAACTCCCTTATGGAGTGACATGAAGCATTCATAGACTAACAAGCCCCTTGGCCAATAGCTCTGACAAAAGATAGGAGAAATAAAGGTGCTGGTCACCTTCTAGTCCAAGAAAAAGTGTATATTGCCAGATAATCAGCAAAGAGCTTAGTCAGGTGTGGGCATGCTTTATTGCTGCATGGAGCAATCGATCCAGCTCTTTGAAATGGGGAAGGAAACATGCCACAGGCATTTACAGTTCATCTGCGTACAGCGTGTATTTGAAACCACATCCAATTGCCTTTGGATGGCTGCCTACGAGCTGCTCTGTTGATAAAGGCAGGAGGCCAAGGTATCCCCTCGTGACAGGGAGATGAGTTATCCTCCTACAACACTGGGGACATTCACCCAAAGGCAATGCCAGAAGCCTTGAGCCCATTGCTTGGGACAGTCACTGAGGATGTGGAGGAAAGTCACCAGGAGAAAGCGACCAACCTTTGGGCTGTTTTTTTCCTGTTCTCTTCAAGGATGTCTTCATTTCTATGGGTGTCGTGCTGTGAGAGTATTTTGCATCCTGAGAGCTCCCAGGATCTCCTTGGGATGAAGCATCACTCCCCAGGGCTCTTTATATCTATCCTGTCCTTTCTGCATGGTGAATATCCTGGGTCAACTCCACTCCCCAAGGAGATCCAGTGGTGGGTAATGGAGCCAAGGTCAGAACAAGCTCCCTGCAGGGTGTCAGCCTTCTGCCCCAAATCCCAGCTCTCCACACCTGCAGATTTGCTCATCTCCTGCACCGTCCCTTAGCAAGAACCTCACTCTGAAATTTCCCTGCCAAAAAAACCTTAAAAGTCTCATTGATTTTAAAACCAGATCACAAAGGAAAACCAATCCGGGGGAGTGGGTTAGAGGAAAGCCCTGTTGTGGTGTTGTTGCAAATTCACACTTCTCACCGTGCTTGCTTTCCTCCTTCTGTGTTTTCTTAAAGACTTTTCTCACTTGTCCAGTGATCCACAGCTGAAACTGTCACCTCATAGAGTCATTTATGTTGGAAAAGAACCGTAATATCATCTAGTCTAACCCATTAACCCATCACCACCAAGACCACCACTAAACCAAGTCCCTACGCACCACATCCATATTTCTTAAATACCTCCAAGGATGGAGACTTCACCACCTCCCTGGGCAGCCCATTACAATGCCTGACGTGGCTTCCCATGAAGAAATTCTTCCTAACATCCAGTCCAAACTCACCCCTAAAAAACTCCTTTTTATCCAGGTGGGAACTGCTGTCACATCCCACCTTGGACAGAAGCCTGTTGATCAAGGTCTCATCCCCCTGTTGGGAATGAAATGAAGGAGGTGAAATCTGCAAAGGACTAAACATATTTTTGGATACACCTCATCTCTCCCTTGACCAAGGTGGAGTGGAACGATCCCTGGGGTGCTGCTTCCCACCCCATCCCTGGCTGCATCCTCCAAATCTGAGTTGCATGCAGCAGCCAGGATTACTGGAGTGGGAAGAACAGGACTTCTCAACAGTAGCACACAAACAAATCAGGCATGACATGAACTCCTATATGTCTAAAGCACGGTAGACAGATTGGGTAGAGTTTCCAGATTTGTTGACAATTTTCTGCTTAAACTTTAGAGTCATTGTCCCTGGAGGTGTCCAAGAACCATGGAGATGTGGCACTGAGGGACACGGTTTAGTGGGAATGGTGGAGATGGGCTGATGGTTGGATTAGATGACCTTAGAGGTCTTTTCCAACCTTAATGACTCTATGAGTCTATAGTATTCTATACTAAACAAGTGAACAAAAGGCAAAGTCTTCATAGCAAGGCCCATTTGGCTGCCTTCACTAACTGGGGCAGGGAAAAGGAAAGGCTATTGGAAAATGTAGAAAGCTGTGATAGAGGCCATAAATCCAAGACAAGGATGAGAAGGGAAGGGAAGGGAAGGGAAGGGAAGGGAAGGGAAGGGAAGGGAAGGGAAGGGAAGGGAAGGGAAGGGACGGCTCTAAATACTTGGGAGGCTCTGATATGCAATTGGGATGGACTTTTTTAAAAAAAAAACATTTTCCTTATTCGTTATGTAAAACAAGAGTGATCATCAGGTAGGTCTCTGCACCAGCAACAGCTGCAGATCTCCAGTGTGGACTCTGGCACACTGAGACCAAATGACGCCACAGCTGCAAACACAGTTGGATCCCAAACATCACAGTGAGCAGACAAAACTGGTTCAAACCAGGCTACAAGAGACCATTAATCCCTTGACTCACGAACGCACATTCCTCCTGTGATAAAGAAATTGCTGCTGAGAAGGTGTTTTTTTTTTTTTTTTTTTTTTTTTTTTTTATGAATCCATTGAAGGTAAAGGTCATTTTGGCTTTTGCTCTTTACTAAAGAAGGGATCCCCATGTGAATACAACAAAGAGATATATTCAGTCCTCTCTATAAAGCTTATTAAACAAACAAGTGCTTCCTTCTGGAGGAGTTGATGGCTGGAATAGATGATCTGTTGTCTTTTCCAACCTCAATGCTTCTATAATTCAGTGATTTCTGGTGCAAATAGGAGCAAGGTTTCCTGAACTGGCTGTATCTTATTTCATTAGCTAGTTTACGGTGTTGGTTTTGCACTCAGTGTTTGGGTGTAGGGAGACCTAATGAGAACCAAAGTACCTGTTAGGTTTGTTCCTAAATTCCAATGGATAGGTCTAGGGGAGTTTATTGGAGTTTCCATAGGTGCTGGTGACAGCAGGATGAGGATTTCCTAATTCAATTTGATTTAATGGCTCGCTCCATCAGGAGCTGCCCCTCTAGCCACCTTTGGATGATAAATTAACAGAGGTGGTTTATTAATGTGGGGTGCAAAGCTGCTTAAATAGCAGAGCCATGCCAAAAATCAGAAAAGAAAGGGGCGTGCAGCCCCATCTTCTCCCCGTTTTTCCAACCCCAGTGCTGGGCTGGGGGCACTGAGATGGCATCATTGGCCCTTATGGATCCATGGTGTGAAGAGGGGCTGAAGTCATCCTAAGGGTGATGAATGCTTTTTCCTCCATCTTTCTGGTCACTTCAGAAAGTCAGAATTAAATGCAGGGCCAGTAATCTATGAATTCCTTTTTACTTTGATGATTTCTAATAATGGATGTGAAACCACCTCTTTTGCATTCGGTCAGGAACTCCACAACCAAAGGAGAGTCGTTAGCAACTAATTACCCGAGTGGTATTGGGAATCCTCATTAGCAGGTTATGTGAGAATTACATGCAGTAGGCACCAAACTGGGGGTGGGAATAACCACATTGTCAAGGCTATCATTGCAAGGCTTGAATCTCACCAAAAAGTGGGGAATTTGGGATGTGGAACATCTAGAAAAACAAGACACTGCTCCTTGCTTTTCCCCAGTTTCCATAATTTCCATTTGCTTTTGTCGGTTCCAGACATGAAGAAACTGCTGAGCCAAAAAGCAACGATTAACCAGCACCTGGGACTGCTCCCTGTCCCTGGTGATTTTCGTAGATGTTGCAGGGGATGAGACAGATAAGATTAGCAAAAGCAAAGCCAGACAAGCCGTAAGCATCAGAAGTGTTTCACAATCCAAAAACAAAACCAGGCAGCCCTTCACCCCACCGGGCTGCAAAAGAAGACACATGGAAATGGTCAATAGGGAGCCCAGCACCTCCAATCCCTACAGCAGCATCACATCATGGGTTTGTTGCCATTGAGCTAAATGATGTCCCTTGCTCTGCTCAAGCAGTCCCTGCAGTACTTCTTTTTTAAGTTAAATAATAATAATAATCCTTTCTTTACAAAAGAAATCGAGAGCCCTTTTAAAATAATCTGTGCTCCAACTGTTCATGTCACAAATCCCATCTGCTTAGCAAGAAGCCAAGGGTGATTTATCATCTGAGTGCTTAAACAACTAACAGTTCATTCCACTTATGCAATCCCCCCAGCACCGTCCCAGGAGGAAATCAAGGTGTGTAGGGGGGTATTTTTGGCTCAAACAAAAGGAAACCTGTGTGGGCAGGTTTGCCAGCCCATAGGGCAAGTTACAGCTGAGTTACATCTGCTGCCAAAATACAGCTGGTTCCTGCTCTCAGGTTATAACTGTTTCTTGCAATAGGGGGAAACGGTCTCCTGTGGCTTTTGAAATTGATTTTGCTCACCAGTCTCATGCAGAGCTCTGCTTGTGTTGGGAGGAGGCAGTTCTAATGCAAGAGCATCGTCTCTCCATCACCTCCTGACCACAACATAAAATCACAGAATCATCAAGGTTGGAAAAGACCCCTGAGGTCATCTGGTCCAACCACCACGTCAACCCAACACCAAAACCAGGTCCACGTGGTTTTTCAGTGTGGGACGTGGAAACTGGGAGCAGCACCATCAGAACTGATTCCCAACACGATCAAAGCAAATGACCAAGAGGGATGCAGGAGCTCAGGGTCTTCTCCAGCTCCAGCATCACCCCTGGGGGTAATCACACCAAAATGAGAGGAGCTATTTTGGCACAACCAACCAGACAGAGCAGCCATTTGGCATAGCATCTCCTAGCAATGGAAGCTGGGCAGGTTTGCACCAAGGTTTACAGGAGCTGTGATACATTCTACCATAGAGGGGCCAAATAGAGCCTCAAGCAGAACTCATCATCTCTGATGCCCCAGGGCTTTGCCCAAATCACAGCAATAACCCAGCAGAATTAAGTCTAATTTTTCTTTTTTTCTTTTTTTTTTTTTTTGCCAGCCTATTGAAAGCTAAAACCATCCCAGCAAGTTTATATAGACCTTATGATGCTGCCCCACGCCTGAGTTCCAGCTTCACCCACTCCAACTCTCAGAGACATGATATAATCCAAGAGGAGTGCACTGTGGGATGAACATCATGCGTCAAACCAGTGAGAAACATTAAGATGTGCAGCATGGGGAGAGGAAGCCTCTTACACTTCTTGCTTTTTACTGTTCCTAGAGTTTCTTGGGCATATCATGCACCCCTGACATGGTTTGTTTCAACAACTCTCGTATGATGGTTGCAGAAGGACTGTGATGGACCCTGGAAGGAATGAGCTGGGTGGATGGAAGGAAGATGGACATGGATGGGCTCCTCTGGAAGGGATGAACCAAATGGGTGGGAGAAAAGGGATTAGTACTGGAAGGTGAGATCTCCCAGGGCGATGCATCTGCTTCTTGGTAAGACACAAATAGCTCATCCTGTTTCCTGTACCTAAGAAACTTTTTCTTCTCTTTATCTTTGAAGCTACCAGTCAGCTGTCCAAACGCAAGCTTTCCTCCAACAGCACATTTCATTCCTCCAACATCACATTTCAGTCACTTGTGCCCTGCCAAAATGACATGAAAATCCCAGGGAAAAGAAATCTGCCCCAGTAGGATGCAGGGGCAGAGCCACCAGTCCCAGTAGGAGGATTTTAAAAGGATCCCATGCTTTAGCTCTCTGAAAGGCAGCAAATCCCAATGTCCCTTCTCACAGCCCTCCCTTTTAGGATGCCAATAAGAAAGGGCAAATCAGGGAGGCAGAGTTACACTGGGTATCCTATGGTGCTGCCCTGGCTCAGAGCTTCTTTGTGGGCTTTTTATTTGTTTTTGTGGCTTCCCCCCTACCCCCCCCAATAATCTCCAGGCTTCTTTTCTGCCTGTGGCTGTCAGTGTGCAGCTGCAGACCCTCCACCGAGGAGGTAATAAATACAATCCTGGCAGTCATTTTTGCAAACAGCACAGCTGGAGGCTCCAGGCTCCTTCCCCTCCCGGCATTCCCCGGTGCTAATAATTCTTGCAGCGTGACCACTGTGAACAATGGGATGCTCAGCATGGTGGCTGCCCAGCAGAGCATCACTGGGAGCTTCAGGGGCTGCCTCCACCCCAGCAAAGCACTTGAGATATTCGCTCTGCCCTACAAGATTTGGGAAGGGACCTGGGGAGAGAAAGAGGGTTCTGGGTAAGGCTAACAAAGGCTATACCAGCAAGGCATTGTCCCCATTTTGTTTCCTACCCTAGATGTTCCTTGACTTCCTTAGTGATCATAGAATCAGAGAACATTTTTGGTTGAAGAAGTTTGGGTTGACCTCAAAGTCCATCCAGTACCAACCCCTGCCATGGGCAGGGACACCTCCCATAGACCAAGTGCCCAAAGCCCCATCCAAACTGGACTTAAATGCCTCCAGGGATGGGGCACCCACAGCTTCTCTGGGCAACCTGTGCGAGGGCCTCACCATTCTCTGAGCAAGAAATTTCCTCCTATCAAATCTAAATCTCTCTTTTTCTACTTCCTCTTGGATGGTCTTTTGCAGAGAAAGACCACAGACAGTAGTTGATCCCAAGACTGAGAGGTGAACAAGGACGTATCACCACAAGCCTCAAATCCACCACTATAACCCCAAGATGAAATTCCTCTGCTCTCAGCCCATGGGGAAGCTCCTGTCCACAAGCGTGCTGACACTTTTGTCATGTCACAGACATGACCTATCAGCCAGGATGCACAAAAACACTACCAATTACCATTTAACCCTGCATTAAACCAAGTCCTAGCCTAATTTGATTCAGTTTTGCTCAACAGCTGACCCAGACCCAGAATTTTCAAATTGCAACAGCCCCATACTTTTGTCCCTGCATGGTCATCCATAGTTTAGTGGGCATGGGTGACAGGTTGATGGTTGGAGTAGATGATCTTTGTTGTCTTTTACAGCCTTAATGATTCTGTTATTCTACAGCCAGTGTGGTGCTGGCTCCTTGCTCCATTTTATCCTCCAAAGCAGGTGGGGGCTGCCATGCACTGTGTTGCACACAGCAGAGATAGAGACATCCCAGTGAGATATTTGGTGACAGTTCAGAACAGCAATGCTCCCCCAGAGCATGAGCCATGTTCAGAGCTCCTCCATGATCCTGCAGTCCCATGAACCATAGATCTAGCTGCAGATGCCCCTGTTCAGAGGTGACTGGGGCTAGGTATGCATTTTGCCCCAGCAGGAGAGTTTCAGACATGATGGGTGTAAGAAATCACACTGCAGGCCCATCCACCCTAGCAGGGCTTTGCCTCTTAGTCTGAATTTTAACTGGTGATCTCACATTCAAAGTCAAATAAAAAGCCTTATTTATTTTCCCCCTCAGCACACCTCAGAAAAAAACCCTCAAAAATCATCAGTAGCCCTGATGGGGAGGAATCAGAACCCTTAATCTCCAAGCCACATGCTGTCTCCTGGCCCCAAGAGAACCCACACTTTGGTCCCAGTAGTAGGAATCACATTTCCTCCAGCTGCACTTTTCCTCCCCCCTTGAAGATGGGTCTGTTCCCCTCTCCCTCACATCACAGCCAGGCATGGAGTAGGGGAAGGCGAGGAGTCAGCATCACAGACAGCAAAAAAGAATCACAAGGGGAGGGGGAAGGGGAAGGAATAGAAGCCCCACAGATGCCAGCACTCAGCTGTTACACACAGCACATGGCCCTCTGCTAGGATGCAGGCATGATAAAGTGCTTTTTTCCAGCTTGCCACCGCTCCATTTGGAGCCTGGTTAATACAACTTAGGAATGTCCCGCGCTGCGGCGGCCAGGTTGGGATAATCCCCTGCAGTCTCTGAGATTCTCAGGGAATGCATTTCCTCCCCCCCTCCCCGCTGAGCATCTCGAATCCTCTGAGAAGCAACGGCAGCAGCTTCCAGGAAATTAAAAAAAAAAAAAAAAGTAAAAAATAAATTGCAATAGAAACAAAAATCCCAAGGCTTCCTCAGCCAAGAATGAATGGCGCGGAGCCTGCCATACATTCGTCTCGCTGGGTCCAGGTGCCAAGTTTTCATACAAGAAAGGGCTTGCTCGAGCCAGCCTTTATCTCCTCCCGGCCCCCAACATCTCACTGCTCGGAAGTTTCTTTTGAAGCCGTTCCAGGCTGTGAGTGCTGTGGCTGCTGCCTGCTCCAGCCCCACTGTATCGGTGCTACGGGGTCGGGAGGGCTGTGGACAAGCATGCCTCTTGTCTTATATCCCCCCCTTCAGCTTCTGCTTGGGGAAAGAGGGAGGAGGGAGAATAGAGTGAAAGAGGAGAAAAAGCAGTTAGGGATGGAGGGAAAAGTCTGAACCTCAGGAAGGCAGTGCCTCACAATGCCTCACCTCTTTCTGTTGGCTCCGTCTCACACAGGGGTGGATGGCACACACTGCTGTCACTGCAGCGCTGGGTGAGCGCTGGATGCTTCTTCCTATATCCCCCCAAAAAAGAAAGAAAGAAAAAAAAAATTAATAGATTTGATACGTTTTGTTTGTTTTGCAGCTTTTTGCTCCCATCCTTTCAATGCTGTTATATTTCCTTGCACTCAGTCTGAAAAAATAAGGATGCAGCACACCCCCTCGCTCGAACCTGGCAGTCTTCCCTGCTGTACTTTGCTATCAGAAATCACGCTCCCTTGGGATGTCACATCCTTCCTCCCTCCAGGCACTTTGCAATCGCTCCCTGCATGCAAGCTACTCCCATTCATTCACTGCCGTGTGTCTCCAGCAGCACCCACCCTGTGCACCCGCTGCCTCTGCACTGGATAGGGAGAACCGACACTGCTCAGCGCTGTTTATATCCCATGTGTGAGCAAGCACCTCCCGTCCCACAGCCTCCCAGGGCTGGCACTGCCTCCCAGGGGTTATAAAGTGACCGAGAGCTGCCCAAGCACAGAATGACGTTGGCTGCCGACTCGCTTTGCTTTGGCACCGTGTGGCTGCCCGGAGCAGCCAGCCAAGTTTAACGCAGTCAATCCTCCCGGGGATGTACCCTTACAGCATTGCCACGGCGTCTCTCTAAGCTTCCCTTTCTGCACCACCCGTGCTCATACAGCACTGCAATCAAACCCCGTGTGCCTCCGGACGAGCGCGGCAGTGGTGATCAATGCGATATTTCAGCGCGATGCCGGCAACGGGCACCAGCTGCTTTCTGCAGAGCAATGGCACAGTGTCCACGAGAGACAAGTTTCCTACTGTAACTTCAGTGAATGCGCTCATTCAGGCTGACGGCAGCTGATTTATCATGGCAGGCACCCGGGGAAATCCTCTGTCTCAGAGCTGCCGCGACCAACACCAACAGCTCGGCTCATAGAATCATAAAGCCATTCAGGTTGGAAAAGACCTCTAACATCATCTCAGTCAATCAATCGTAGAACCCTTAAGGTTGGAGAAGACCTCTAAGATCACCTTGTCCAACGAATCATAGACTCATTAAGGATGGAGAAGACCCCTAAGACAATCCCATCCAACTAATCATAGAGTCATAGACTCATTAAGGATGGAGAAGACCCCTAAGACAATCCCATCCAACTAATCATAGACTCATTAATCTCCCTAGGATTACTCCATCCAACTAATTATAGAGTCATAGACTCATTAAGGATGGAGAAGACCCCTAAGACAATCCCATCCAACTAATCATAGACTCATTCAGGATGGAGAAGACCCCTAAGATTACCCCATCCAACTAACTATAGAACATAGACTCATTAAGGATGGAGAAGACCCCTAAGATTACCCCATCCAACTAATGATAGAATCATTAAGTCTAGAGAAGACCTCTGAGATCATCTCCTCCAACCATACACCTCCCCAGGCTCCATATACCTTCACTGCCAACAAATTGCATCAGGGCTCTGCTGACCACAATGGGGAAATGCCAGTTAATGGTGGCAATGCCACTTCCCCATGACCCAAACCCCTCTCTCCATCTCGGGGCTTCCCACCCATCCCAGGCAGAGGAGCAGAGCTGACAAGGCTCTTTGTTTCGGAAGGGCTGACATGTGTTGTGGTCGGCTGCACTAATAAATCTGCTGGCCTCTGTGTCTCTTAATGACTGCAGCATTAATAAGAAGTTTCCATGGTGCTGCTGAAAAGTTTACAGGGTGTGTGCGTTATCAAGGGAGCCCCGTGCTTTCTGACCTCCTGCTTCAAAAGTCACAACCAGCAGCTGCTTTTTCTTTCTTTTTCCCTTCTTTCTTTCCTCCCTTTCTTCTGATTTCCTTCTTTTCCTTTCTTTCTTTTTGCCCCCTTCTTTTTCTTTCTTTCCTATCCTTGCTTTTTTGCCCCATTATTTCCTTCTTTTTTTTTCCTTTCTTTTTCATTTTTCCCTTTCTTTCTTTACTTCTTTATTTCTTTCTCTTTTCCCCCTTTCTTTTTCTTTCTTTTTTCATACTATTTTTCCCCTTCTTCTTTCTTCCTTTTTTTTTCCCCCATTTATTTTTTCCTTTTTTTTTCCCCCTTTTTCTTTCTTTTTTTCTCTCTCTCTCTTTTTTTTTTTTTCCAACAGAACCGCACCACCACACAAACCCAAGGCTGCTTCCTCTCCCTGCCCCCTCCCCAAGCACACCTTCCCCTCCAGCTTAATCCACTCAGAGCCATGGGAAATTCCCAGGCGGGAGCTTTGCCGTGCCCGTATCTCTCCAGCACCCTCTGCACTCTCCTCACCCATCCTCTGAGCTTTGCTTTCCCTTTTTCCCCCCATTTTTTTTTCTCCCCTTACCTTTGTGCGGCTCCTGCGAGCCTCTATAGCTCAAGATCGCAGCCAAAAAAAAAAAAAAAAAATTAAGGAAAAAAAAAAAATCCCTTCTCTCGGTGCTGGGAGGGGAGAGAAGGGGGGAAGAGGAGGGGACATAGGGAGCCCTGTATGAAACCGAAGCGCTGAAGCCGGGCACGGGAGGCGGTGCGCAGCTTCCAGCTGCTGCTCGGATTACTTTGCAGCCGTGGCAATTCTGAGCGCTCCGCAGCCACCATTGCACGGAGGGAGGAGAAGGGAGGAAACGAGCGGAGCTCGGGAGGGGTCGTACACCATCCCTTTGGGGATGGCCGCTGCGGGGAAAAAGTGCTTTGCCTCCAGCCCAGGGTTCTGTGGTTCCACCCCTCCATCCCCTCTCCGCTTTTTGGAGCGGATGATCCCGCACCGCCGCGTCGCTGAGATCCCACGCGTGGCAAAAAAACCCCCAACAATCTCCCCCCCC